TGTAATGGTATTGGTGACATTTTAAGGCGTCACATAATGATTCATTGACAGAAAATGACCCCTGCAGTTATTCATAACAATAAATTCAAATACGTTTGAGTCATCTGAAGTTCGATTCTTTGACGCCCGTCACGATATATCGTCGGGCACGCCCGATCTAAAGCTAATTGAACCAAGGACCTTGGGACTAGAATATTACGTAGATCATCACGATGTATGTATGAAAATTCGAGTTATGAATCTATTCATTTTTATCTCAGCCAACATTGACATAATTACTGGCACCCGGAAAGGATAATTTTTACATATTGACAAATGCGGATGGCGCTCGAAATTTCAAGCTTGTCAGAGTGAAAGTGGAAAATGTTGGGAAAAGGTACTGGGAAACCATTCTTACTGTCAAGGAAACAGAAAAGATAGAAGATGTCGAAATTTTTCGTGTAAGTCTGAAGAATTTTTTTTTTTTTTACCTTTCTGGAACTCTTTTAACGATGACATTTGTTTGCTAGAATTTTGCAGTCATATTTGCTAAGAGGGAAGGGTTACCAGTTATCTTATGTTATAATCTGTGGACTTCAGAGATTCATCAAATTGAATTGCCTATCAAGTATTGTACTATTTCGCCCGGGATAAATAACGTACGACGATGATATGAAATATACACATTTTCATCACTATCTCACACTTCTAACGCATTTTCTGTCTTCAGAATTATGACACAGACACTGTTCGATTTACATATAGTTCACCCTTCACTCACGAGTCCATCTACGACTATGATATGAAACTGCGTAATCTAAAGTCGATGACGGTTCATCCTATGCAGGGTATATCTTATTCATATTTATAATTTTCGTACTGAATTCGACTCAAATTTCAAACTAAATATACACACGTGTATTTGTATTTTACAATTATAGATTTTGATAGTAATTTATATACTTGTCATCGTGTTCATGCAAAATCTTCCGACGGCACAAAAATACCAATAACATTGCTACATAAGAAATCCTTACCGTTGAATCACGAGTATGACATAATGTATTTGTATGTTGTGCTAATACTCTTTTGAGAAAACTTTCTCACTTTATGCTTAACAAATTGCAAAGTAACCCCTTATTGGTTCGATCATATGGGGCTTACGGGATCTCAACAGAACCCGAATTCCAACTTGAACACTTTCCGATTTTAGAAAGAGGATGGGTAATAGCGCTTGCACACGTCAGGTATCATACGTACACTTTTTATTCCTTTTCATATATTGTGTCATTCATATTGTATTCTCTCTTGTCTAGAGGAGGGTCGGAAATGGGGTTTTCTTGGTATGATCAAGGACGAATGATGCAGAAGAAAAATTCATTCACGGATCTCATTTCCGTTGTTGAGCATTTGATTGACGCAGGATACACAGATCCTTCACGGGTTTCGACTATTGGCACCAGTGCCGGAGGTTTGCTAATGGGTATGTAAATTTTATCTAATTGGACTATCTCTAAGTCAGAACTGGTAAATTAATCACTATTCTATGTAAAGGCACGGCCTTCATTATGAGACCAGGTTAGCACACAATTTTTTTTTTAGTCGTATATCGTCTCGGCAAAATCAACTAACCTGTCATCATTAAAAAAAGAACTGTTCCGCG